TATTGATAATATTACATCTAGTTTCAACAATATTCATGACTTCTTCCACTGAACTGACGGAGGACAACTCTTTTTTCACTTCAGGAAAGCAACGTGAGAGATACTGTTTAATATCATCAGCTGAAGATACATTCTCCACTACTAGTTGTATTATCTCATGACGTAGGTCACCAAACTTAACACGGACTTCATCAAAACGACAATTGTAGACTTCACTAACAAAGACCTCTTCAACTATCAGTGGTCATAATAATAATGTATTATTAATAATAGTATCTTACCTGATGATATTGGTGCAATAGACAAGTCAGTTTCACTTGGATCAGTGACAGTATCAGATAAGAAAGTATCTACAATACAATCCTGTATAGTGCATTGTGATTTACACTATCATCTTACCACATTCTTTTAATATGTCTTGTCCTATAGTCTTTGCTTCATCTGATTTCAGTAAGATGTCTCTTAATGCTCTCAATTTGTTATGATCTTCAGTTATTGAAGTCCGTATTTCTCTCAGTGTGTCTCCTAATAGGAAACCCCCAACACTCTCCACTCTAGTCCTGGTCTCATTTGATATCAGTCTCTCTGTACATAACAGATCAACTGACTCCTCACTGATGGACACTAAAGACAGTCTAACACTGTAACGCTGGAATAACTCACTAGCTGGATCAGACACTGTGTCAATAAGGAAGGATGTCATTATTAGTAGTAGTAGCTTCATTTTAGTACACTAATACACTATTGTATAGTAACAAATTATTGTTGGGCTCTAAAAAGAATTATTCATTTTTGTATTTTAATTTGATACCATCTCATCACTAGATTCACTACCTAACGTACATGTACAAATATACTTATTATTATTATTATTAATTATTATTATCATTATTATATACATCACTTACATTTACTAATTCTTTCAGCTGATGATACTTCTCCAATTCTACGTAGTCCATTAGCCAGTGTGATCCAAGACAATGGTCCAGTTACATTATCTGCTCTAGAGAGCCATTTCTCTAGACATTCCATCAAGCAACGACTAGCCCCAGCTCTTCCATAGTCTGCTTCAATAGTTTTCAGTGTCTGTAGACTCAGACCCAGTTTCAGTCCAAACTCAAACCACTTCCCTTCAGTAAACCCAGTGATCAGTAGCTCCTCGTGTATCTCAGCTAGTCTCTCCTTCTCTATAGTATAACAAGTGGTAGTAGTATATCATTATTGACAGTTACTTCACTCACCTAAGGACAATGCTCCTATTCTTCTTCTCCTAGCCATTTCAATACTATTAGTGGACAGTGGTAGCCACACCCACAGACACAATGACTGGGTGGTAAAATTTAATTTTAATTTTTTTAATTTAATTTTTTATTTTTAGATCTATTTCTAGATTATTGTATAACTCATCCAGTCTTAGGCAGTGCAGTCTATTACTGTACAGTTTGTACTTAAATTGCAACTTTATTCAGCACTGACAGATAATGTTCAATGAACATTACCTGATTCAATATGTACTTGTGTAGAAAGTTTGAGCTAAAAAATTTTTTGAGTTAGTGCCATTGAAAAAAAATACCTATGGCTATATATAGTCCATGGTTTTTTCCAAAAATGGCTCCAAAGTTAATCTAAACTTTTATTACATTTTCTGGTACATATTGATGTCTTTATACTACGTAGAAAGTTTAAGCTGATTCCAACTTCAATTTTTCAAGTTAATTAAGCCAATTTTTGAAATGCCAAAATTCTAAA